CAAATGTTTTCTCAAAAAATTGTATGTAGAAAACGTGAAAAATAAGAGAAAGTAAAAACGTAATATGAAATAAAAATTCTTAACAAATAACGTACAATGAGTAGGTAGTGGAAGGAATGAGATAAATGTTGAAATAATTATGAGATAGCAAATATATAAATATTACTTACTCTATAAATTAAGCAAAAAAATATTAAGGTATTTTTTTTAACTACGAAAATAGCAAATAACTATTACGAATTTCTTATGAACATTTAATAATTTTCTCTTGTTAAGCTACACTAAATACAAATAAAACCATAATGTAAACAATTTTGGCTCGCGCAAAAAATTGATAATATGGACCAAAGAAATAAAAATTGCAAACATGAGTGTGCGACTGCGCTCTGTATGCAGCGCCTCTAGTTTTTCGGTTCTTTGGCACCACGTGCAATATGTACACGCGTTTTTTTCCTTAACCTACAAATATACATACATTATAATATCCTTCAGTGGTGCAGTTCTATTCCCATAACGTCTCCCAATAACAAAACGGGTAAATAGTCCAACAGGTTATGGGCCCAGTTTGCGTCGCGTCAGTGTGTAAAAATTAAAAGGGAAAAACTCTAAAAGGAAAAATGGCTGGATTATTGGAAAATCTCAAGATTGAAAAATTAAGCGATAGAAATTATGAATCCTGGCAAATACAGATGAGTACTGTACTTATTTGTAATGACTTATGGGAATACGTGAATGGTGATTATCTAAAACCGGCAGAAAATGCGCAAGAATGGATAACAAAGAATAGGAAAGCGTTGGCGTTGATTTGTTTAGGTGTTACAAAAACGGAACTGAATCTCATCAAAAAGTCAAAAACGTCCAAGGAAGCGTGGGATATACTTAAAGAAGCACATTCACAAACAAAGCCGAACTCTTGAAAGAAGCGGGAATTGAATTACCGAAAGAAATGCTGTCGATAATGTTACTTTCCTCTTTACCTTCCGAGTACGATGGTTTCTGTATGGGAATGGAAACACGTGAAAACATTCCGACAGTGGAATCACTCAAATTAAAATTATTTGAACAGGAGGCAAAACGTGACGACAAAAACGACACGAAATCAAACGAAGGAGCCAATGACGCCCTATTTGTGAAAGGAAAATATAAGAAGTATCACAAAGATTCACAGGAAAAAGAATATAAAGAAAAGTCATCACATAAGAAATTTAATTGGAAATGTTTTAAATGTGGCAAAGAAGAACATAAAGCAAATGATTGCAGATCCAAAAAGACATTTGCCGCAAGTAGAAATGCTGAAGATGCTATGCCGGCTATTGCGTTAAACGCTGAACCTCAAAAATCAATAAAATGGGTTTTGGATAGTGGTGCAACAAAACATATGTGCAACGATAAACTGAAGTTCTCAAAAATAAATTATAACAAGAAATGTAAAGTGTATACAGCAGCAGAACATTGGACAATGTCTGCCGGTACAGGAGATGTAAATATCAGTGTTGACTTATACCATGGCGACGTAAACAAAATAAAACTCAGTGATGTGATGTATGCGCCAGACTTTAGAAACAATTTATTGTCGGTTTCGCGAATGACTGCTTGTGATTACAAGGTAACTTTTCATGATGATCGTGCATTGGTGAAACGGAGTGACGATACCATAGCTTTAGTGGCTAAGCTAGAAGGACAGTTGTACTTCATTGAAGAAAACTATCAACTTGTAGCTGCAACCGTGGTAAACGATTACAATATAACAAACTCAGAAGATGGCATGAGAGGTACGGTCACCTAAATCTAAATGATTTAAAAAGACTGAAAACACAAGACATGGTTGTTGGAATTCAAACTGGTACATCTGATGAAAATTTTGAGTGTGAAATTTGCCATAAAGCAAAAATACATCAATTACCATACAAAAGATCGGAGACAAGAGAAAGCGTAACACTAGGGTTGGTACATTCAGATATATGCGGACCAATCAACACTCTCTTAATTGGTGGAACAAGGTATTTTGCGACATTTATTGACGACAAAACCAGGTATACAGAAATTGCTTTATTAAAGAATCGTTCAGATATTTTAGAAGCTTTTAAAAACTATATGTTTAGAGCGAAAAAAGAAACTGGATTTCAAATCAAGAAAATCCGTACTGACAACGCAAAGGAATATGTCTCAAAGGATTTTTCGAGATTTCTGGAATCATGTGGTATAAAAAGACAGCTAAGTGTAGAGTACCACTCCTCGACAAAACGGTGTAGCTGAACGGGCTAACCGTACGTTAGTAGACATGGCATGCTGCATGTTACTACAAGCAAATTTGCCCAAAAATTTATGGGCTGAGGCAATCAACATGCAAATTTTATTAGGAATCGTTGCCCTACGAAAGCTCTAAACAGTATGACTACAATGGAAGCCTGGTGTGGCAAGAAACCATATGTTGGTTTCATGCGTATATTCGGTAGCAAAGTAATTGCGCATATCAAAGGTCCGACCAAAGGAAAATTTATGCCAACAGGAAAAACACTTGTAATGGTTGGATATTCAAGTGAATCAAAGGCGTACAGGCTGTGTTGCAATGTACAACCAGATGGTACTTCTGAAATTTTCGAAGTTCCAATATTTGAACATCACGAGGAGAAGAAGAATGGAATTAACCAGGATACTCCAAAGAACATCAAATTAAACGAATCTGGTACTCCGTATGAAAGCACCAGCGAAAATGAACATCATCAAAATGAAACCGAAGGCAATGAACATCATGAAGATGAAACCGAAGACACTTTAGATGAAGATTTATCAACAAATGGGAAGACAGGAACATCAACTGTAAAAGCAGGTCCCGGAGGCCCCAAAATAATAAGGACTGGTAAACCAGGTAGGCCAAAATGGTTGTTTCATGAAGGAGCGAATTTTTCATATGAGGAACCGCTAAATGTAAATCAAGTATTGCGTCATAAGGACAAGGATTTGTGACTAGATGCAATGAAACACGAGTATAATGTATTACTAGAAAATAATACATGGGAACTTGTAAAAAGGCCCAAAGATACAAAAATACTAACTAATAAATGGGTTTTTAAAACTAAAATGAAAAAAGACGGTAAGATCGATAAATACAAAGCAATACTGGTCGCAAGAGGTTTCGAACAAGAAGCTGGTATCGACTATGAAGAGGTATTCGCACCGGTCGCCAGGTACGAAACCATACACACGTTATTTGCAGTAGCAGTCGAAAAAAAAATGCAAGTTCATCAAATAGACGTAGTGACTGCATATATACAGGGCGATCTACAGAAAGAAACATACATGGAATAGCCGGAAATGTTTGTCAACAAAGGGGAAGAAGACAAGGTATGTCGTCTTAGAAAACCATTGTATGGTCTAAAACAGGCAGGCAGAGTATACCAGAGGCCTGGTATAGAAAATTAAACAATTACTTATCAGATCTCGGCCTGAAAAATACAAAAATTGATCCATGCGTGTATGTGAATACCAAAAATAATAAACCCATTATCGTAGTCATTTATGTGGATGATTTATTAATAGCTGCTGAAGATATTAATACAATAAATAATATAAAAAAGAGTTTAAGTACAAAATTTAAAATGAGAGACTTTGGAGATGCAAGTCATATCCTAGGAATGTCTGTAGAAAGAGAAAGAATTACTGGAAAAATTAAACTGACACAAAGAAAGTATGCTACGGGCCTAATAGAAAAATTTTGTATGAATTGCTTTATCTTTTAGCGTCTCCTCTTCATCATCTAGGGGGTTTTCTAGTTTTTGAGCGTGGGGTAAGCATGGGGGGAGGCGCGAACCGACCTTCGTCGGTTCCCCGCAGGGGGGAGGGGGTGACGTGATAGATTCCTGCGTCACAAAGAGGTGAACTCTTCGCGGGGAACGAGTCCGCACTAAGCTCGCGATCTTGGTCGGTCTCGTTCCCCGCGGAGAGTTCACCTCTTTGTGACGCGGGAATCTGCCACGTCAGCCCCCCCCCCCCCCCCCCGGGGGACCGACGAAGGTCGGTTCGCGCCTCCCCCTATGCTTACCCCACGCTCAAAAACTAGAAAACCCCCTAGATGATGAAGAGGAGACGCTAAAAGATAAAGCAATTCTTACCGGTTCCCTGGTGGCGCGCTACCTAATTCACTCGAAGATTGTTTATCTCGACGGTGTGCATTGTAGTGCCGGCTTTGTTCTTCCGACGCGGCTTCTATATTTTCCGCGACCCATAAACGGAGCGTTTATAAATTTCCCATAACATCGTATCGGCCGCGTCTGTCGGATCCAACTCCCTATCCGTTCGTTTTCTCGCGCAACGGTTCGGTAACGGAAGTCTGCCAAAATTAAGGAACGCTGGCGTGGTTTTTAGCGACGAATGATAGACGGTATTATACGCGAAACGAAAATGCATAATATTCGCATCACATTCTCGGTGGTCTTTTTCGAGAAATTGTACTATCACCGTCTTGAGCACACGGTACGGAGGGGTTGTTACGTGGTGGATGTTATAATCGGTCGTTAGTTTGTGTAATACTTCGTTGATGAATTCCGTCCCGTTATCCGTAATTAAATCCTTGGGACTTCTCCATCTATTTTTGTTTAACAATGAATCGCCAGATGGCTTTAATCGATTCCTTTGGAATTCCAAAGAAGAATAGGGACGTACGCCGGATGTCCGCGCATAACCTAAGGAAAGCGGAGGATGAGCCTAATTGGAACAAGGCCATCTCCGTGGAACACTGCGTCAAGGACATCATGTCCGAACCGGATTCCACCCGCCCGAAGCAGGCGGAGCGCCAGAAGAACAGAGCTTCAAACTGGCGGAACGCGCAGAAGCCTAGGACTAATCCAAAGATGCAGGAAATACACCCTGAGGACGTCGAGGCTATGCGTGCCACGAATGAAACGCCAGAGATGGCAGGGCCGATGTACTCTGTTGGCCCCATTGCGGGTAGCATCGCAATCGACCAACTAGCCGGCCAAAATCTCGATTTTTCTACGTACCTTCCATTGTGCGAGAGAACGTATAGAGATATGCAGGTGGTTGATGACCGCTTGGCCAGAAAGCTGCCCCTCTGTGCCTTTTTGCACGGTTGCACCACGGCACTAGTAGCCTCACAGCTCGACCTCAAACAGAATGAAAATAAAGAGGGGGTCTATAGAGCGGAGGGTGACATGGGCGCCTATCTGGAGCAGATGACTTTGCCCGCTCCAGTGTGTGAGTACCTATCTAATATAGGGAAAACAGTCACAGCGTCGGGAGAAACCGTCTCGACAAATATTCCGGCCGGTGACGGCGGAGACACAATGCCTATGAGTTCTACGTGTCCCCGCGGGTTACTAGACGGCAGGTTGAGGCCTCTCTAGCCCAAGAGCATGACTGGATGCCCCTCCCGGAGGAACTCCTCCCCGAAGGTCCCTAATCGGAACTTTCTAGGCTTTGACGAAATCGAGCCGTTAACGATGGATGCACGCGCAGTTCTTCAAGGCGTGCATTTTCCGGATGACCACACTGATACAGGCATAGAGGCGAGGATGCAATACAGTCCTCAGATAACAGCCTTGATCAATCGCGTCTTATTAAGCATTGAATCAAAGTATAAGGTCGGCCCCACGTTGGGCGCCAATTTTTACAACGTGATTTCCCGACACGGTCCGTGATCCGCGTCGTGAAGCGTGCAAAATGAGAGTTTTCCGACTCCTCACGCCTTTACGGGAAAACCCGAGCGCCAGGTATCAGGAGATACCGGCGTGAGAAACCGAACGTCGCGAAAATTACCACGACTAGCGATCCGGATCGCGGAGAGGGGCGTGGATCGTCGGCGAGGAAAGGAAGTCTGAGAAAGCCGTCTTCACGGCAAGACGAGACGGATTAACTCAGCACTCGTTTAAAATAATATAGAATATATTGTACGCGAAAGATGTTACAAAATACGGTGTACACTGCCGAGCTGTCGTAGCGTCAAAGGTCACCGAGACGACCGGTAACCGACACGAGAACTACGTTTCGAAAACACGTGCGGATTTCGTTCACGATAGCCCAAATTCCGTCGCGATTCGCACAAAAGCGACTTTGGAAACGATGTTCGGACAGTCTTGACGCGGTCGCGGTGGGCTCGACCTCTTCGACGAGAACGTTAACCGGCAGCGATCTAAACACGTGCCCGTTACAATGGACTCGCGACTAGATGTTCGTTATTTCGTTCGATATCCTACGAAAAGGCGATTTCTCGCTAACAATGCTATTTCGCCCGACGGGGTGCTCGGCAGCCACCAGGAAATTTGAACAATTCACGATATCCTATCCATGAGCGCGAGGTAAAGGAGGAAGCGCTTACCGTACCGTTCACCACGTGTGTCGCTGACGAAATAGGACGAGATACGCGAGCTCGTCGCACGCGTTGGCTCACGCGCTCCCCCCCAGCCTCTCCTCAATGGTCGGTTATGGCGGCCAAATTCAAATCGCGTTATCGGCGCGCTCGTCATCGGCGGTCGTCCAGTCTCGTCCCTCGGCGACTTTGGTGGCGTGTCGGTGCTGGCATCCCTCGAAGACTCTGGAGCGGGCCGGGTCTCGGTGCACTCGAGAACCCGGCTGACTTCGCTATCCTAAACGGCCTCCTGCCCCCTGAAGGTCGTAGCGGAGTCCAGGGGCTGATACCAAGATCCACCAGCCCCTGTCCATTTGAGCTTCGTCTGGCCAGTCCGTGCAGCCGGCGCCGGGTTGGACGGGATTAGTAGCCTCTAAGCCGCATCGCTGGATGTTACCGTCGTTAACCCAACGCTATTGCCATTCAAATACGCAAATTAGTTCTAACCCTGGGTTACCCTGGTGGCGCTCGCGATCTTGGTGGGTCTTGTTCCTCGCGGAGAGTTCACCTCTTTGTGACGCGGGAATCTGCCACGTCACAGTACACGCATTTTTTTTCTTAACCTACAAATATACATATATTATAATATCCTTCAGTGGTGCAGTTCTATTCCCATAACGTCTCCCAATAACAAAACGGGTAAATAGTCCAACAGAAAGGAATACTTAAAAACAAATTATTTTTTATGTGAAGTCACATCCGGACTCAACACTAAACTCAAACACTAAAATTTTACTAGACTTCATTTCTGAACCTTCGAATTCGTTTACAGTGCAACGTGGTTCGTTATCAAGAAACTCATTTACCGAGTCCTAAAGATCCTCGCAATCAAGAGATCGTTAAGTTCCGGAACCACTGTCATAACGCTCGTCAAACCACTAGACCCAGTCGCTTTAAAGTTACTGCTCCCTGAAGATCACACGTGCAGATTGAAAAAGCGCCATCGTTTAGTTCCACCAAACAGATTCTCGATGAGTAATCTCATGTTCTAATAATGTCTACTTTAAATATTTATTACAGTATATTCATTAGGCGGTAATTATCCATACAAAAAAAAAGCTGCGGTCTAATTTACTCACAATAAGATTCGCAGAATAAATTTAAAAATCTTTATACAATATTATTCTGGGCATAAGTTCGTCGGTTTATGACTTACTATGTTAAAAGTTAGTTATGACTTCGCTATAATGCAATTTTATTAATGTTGAAGTAATTAAGAGATGATTCGACTTCCTATATGTTCAAAAAGTTTATTTGAAAATCCGTTTAAAACTTGAGAAATTTCTTCTTTTTCAATTTTTAACCTACTTCGAAAAAGAGGTTACTCAATTCGACGTGTATATTTTTATTCTTCATTTTTTATTTCATAGAATATCATACGTACATCTTAGTTAATATAAATGTATCGATGTTTTCGAGAATCGTGGAATATTACTGATCTTTCGTCATGGATCATGTCGAGTGTTTTATGTAGTTGCAAATTATTGGTATAAGATCTTGCTATCTATTATTATGAAAAAATACCAAAGAATTTTAGGGATTGATTTATAAAGGGTAGAAAGGATTTAATTATGAAGTTTCTAATATTTGAGCATAACACATTTTTAGAGTGAGCGTTCAACACAAATATCCATACAATAAGTTCTATAATTTTTGAGTAACATTAGCACGAAAAGCATTGCTAAGGGTTCGATGTGATTTGGTAAGGGAGCAGAATCATAAGGGTGACATCATGAGTCATCGCACTGGATGACGATAACCGTAGGGACATCAATGACTGCTGTCGCTTCTTATTATTTGCTACTTACCACAGACTCCTTTCATTGATATTAAAGGGACTATTCTGCTTGCCATGACAGTACAAATCAATCAAATTACCACAGTAAGGACAAAGAGAAGTAAGAAAGAATATTCTTGTGAAACACATAAAAATAAAAGAACAGAAACATCAAGTGGAACAAGTGAAAAAGTAATGAAAGGTATGAAATAGTGGATGTGACGGCAGCCGATACAGGTAGTGACGTTCCTGACTTTACTTACTTTGTATTTTGTACTTATTACTTGATACAAAGTCTAGTCGTATTTACAGAAAGAATTATTCTCTTTGTCTCGAATTATTCTCTTTGGCAATAGGAACGTATGAAACAATCACAAGAACAACAAAGTGCAATAAACAACGGTGATACAAGAGGACGTTATTTCTCCTACCTTTAACAACGATGATTCAAACACGAGATGAGGGAACCAGAAGCATCGAGAGAAACAAGAGAAAAAGCGATCAGAGATATGAAACAGTAGATAGTAGTAGTACAAGAGGAAGCCCATGGGGTTGACACTATGAGTTACTGCACCAGACGACAATAACCCAAATGACGCAACTGACGGCACTTACGTTTTATTATTTATTACGTAGCGCAGACTCCCATTGCTTGTACCAAAGGAATCATTATTATGACACTAGATACAAATAAAATGACCACAGAAGTACCAAAGAGAAATAAGCAAACGAATGATGCCGAAGATAAGAGATGCTCAAACAAGAGGTAGCGATAAGGGAACAGAAGCATTAGGAGGAACAAGAGGAAAAGCGATCAGACGTATGAAAGGGTAGACGTAATAACGGCTAGAAGAGAGAATGGATCGGATAAGTCGTCCACGTAGGGGAAAAAAGATGGCGCCAACGAGATACACGCGTTTCGCACGCCACGCTACCGATGGGCCGATCCGAGATAAGGCGCAACTAGGTTACTCCACGCCGTTGCACCATTCCGGTTTAATTGGTCGAGGGGGAAGGTGTACACTGTACACGCTGCTGGTATAAGCGTCGTCGTAACTCCGTTGATTATAAAAACGTATAATTAATCGAATCGCGGTGCCAGTCTGGCTTCCGCCTGGCTATCGTGGTTCCGCGAACTTAAGACCCTAAAATGCGAAAACAACGCGCAACCTGTCCTGCGATCTCTAAGACCGATCGCACACGGGCGCAACTGATCAGTTTCAAATCATTCTGAAACTAGTTGCATGAGACCGTGGATTGAAGTAAAACAAAGATAGCGGAGTAGGTAAAACAAAAAGAGCGCAAACGATTTGCAACACTAATTTCAAATCGGTTGCGCCCGTGTGCGTTCGGCCTTAGTCTATAAGTTCAATTTAGGCCAACTTTTGCTACTATTTCGTTTACCATCCCTCGATCGTAACAAATACTGTCTTTAAGAGGGAAATAGGTTTAAGTTCAACGAGTCCGAAAAGAAGAGTTGCATGCTCAAGACGAAGGATACGAAGAAGACAAAGAATTGCTACATGGTACTGGAATCGTTGATTAACCAGTAAGTAGTTTAACCCTTTGCGCTCGAGGCATTTTTCTATAGAATCAAATCCAGTCCATTTTTATAATAAATTTCTGTGAAACCAAAAACTCTATTTCGAAGAAAAACATCTACGAACGTTCATGACTCGATGTATTATTATTTCAATTAATAATTAGTTGTATTCTGATGTACAGTGAGTGTAGAATGTATTCGTACACCGATCAATTTCCCAAAAAACTCTTATATGAAATTGTAATTTATTAACTTCTTTTTGTATAATCAATGATATTTTTCATATTCTCGGTAGTCTCTAAAATAGATATAGTCCAAACAACATTTACTAGTTACTATAATTTGTGAAATTAGCAAAAACATGCGAAATGTGGGTAAAAGTATAGAAGCAATAAGTATTTGTACGATTCTTATGACGAACCATTTACAGTAGAGTTTG